AGCAGAGGTGGTGGTGAAGGCTTCTGGGAGTTGAAGTCCAAGAACATCTGGAGGGCCACAGTTCGACACCACTGCATTAGTGGCTTTGTATGGGTTGCACCTCATCCTATCCTTGGACGACAGGTTGCCACGACTAGAAGCATTTCCTGATGTTCTGGCCCGCATTATGCCCACTGCCAACCATGGGAACACTTAGATGTCGAATCTCTTTTTCAGAGTTCACGATGCAATTATCTCTAGAGCTCACTTAACTGATCCACCCAGCGAACGACTGGATCACCATGATCAACTAGGAAAGAAACTCCAGTTTGCCCTTTTTCTCTGGAATAGCTAAAATATCTCTTTTCAAAACTCTGTCTTATCTTCTCCTCCTTTTCCTTATTGTCTGTTTTAGCCCTTGTGTGGCATAACCTCCATGCTATTTGCAGGCCAAGCTTGCTATATGACAATTAGGCCTTCCATTTATCCGACTGAATCCCGGATGACTAATTATACTAATTCCTTGGTATACTCAAGGAATGGAAGGAGTATTTGCTAAATTCTTCCTGCTCATCATCACTTTAGGCTCTTTCAACTTGACTAATCAACTCAATGAGGAATTTTCAAGTTTAGACACATTCCTCATCTCCAGGCAAAAGTGAGAGAAGAGCTGTGTCTTCTTCTCCTTAAGATCTTGAAAATTTGTACAAGCAGTCGGTGCAAAAATTGGTCTCTCTTCCCTTTGAGAGGCATTCCATGACCCTCTGCACACAGCAGGCAAAACAAACAGTCAAGGAATACCTTACCACCTTGAATGAGTTAAATTCTCCAGTGGCGGATGAACTGCATCCAAGAGTATTGAAGGAACTAGTTGAAGAACTCTCAGAACCGCTATCCATTATTTTCTTGAAATCATGGGAAACGGGGGAGATGTCAGAGGAATGGAGGAAGGCCAATGTTGTCCCTATCTTCAAAAAGGGCAAAAAAAGAGAGGAACCTAGGAACTACAGGCCAGTCAGCCTGACATCAATCCCAGGCAAAATTCTGGAACAGATCCTAAAGCAGTCGTTGTATAGGGACCTAGAAAACAATGAAGTAATAACTAGAAGCCAAATGGATTTGTCAAGATCAAATCCTGCCAAACTAATTTGATCTCGTTTTTTGATCAGGTCGCCTCCCATGATAGACAGCGGGAATGCTGTAGATATAGTATATCTTAACTTCAGGCAAAGCTTTTGACAAAGTGCCCCATGATACCTTGATTAGCAAACTAACTAGGTATAGGCTGGATAGATCAAGTGTCAGGTGGATACACAGTTGGCTACAGAACCATACTCAGAGGATGATGAGTAATGGGTCCTTCTCTAACTGGGAGGAGGTAAATAGTGGGGTACCCCAAGGCTCAGTCCTGGGCCCGGTGCTCTTCAATATTTTGATTAATGACTTGGATGAGGGAGTGCAGGGAATGCTTGTCACATTTGCCGATGATATAAAATTGGCTCCTTCAGAGGAAAGGTTGAGACAGAGTATTTCATCATTGTAGTCATCATCAATGTAGAACTCCAGAGCTGGGAAGGACCTCATGGATCATCATGGATCATCAAGTCCATCCCCCATCAAAGAGGCACAGTGGGGGAATTAAACTCCCAACCTTTGGTTCTGCAGCTAGAAACGTAAACCACTGAGCAATCCAGCAGTCCCATCATTTGCTAGCTTTTTCTACCAGTTGTTTGTTCTTATTATGTGCCATCAAGTCAGAACTGACTTACAGTATAGTGACCCTCATAGGATTTTCAAGGTGCTGTTGTTGTTTAGTCGTTTAGTCATGTCCGACTCTTTGTGACCCCATGGACCAGAGCACGCCAGGCCCTCCTGTCTTCTACTGCCTACCAGAATGAATTTGACACAACTCCGGGAGGCAGTGGAAGACAGGAGGGCCTGGCGCGCTCTGGTCCATGGGTTCACGAAGAGTCCAGACACGACTAAACGATGACGATTATCAGTCCCAGCTCCCCACTGAGTCTCCATGGGAAAGCCGGAGAATCAAACTCCAGCTTCCTCAGCACTAGTCCATTGCTCTATCCAGTACATCACATTGCATATCTGCAAGTTGTTTAGGTAAAGGTAAAGGTTCCCCTTGCCAATTTTTGTCCAGTCGTGTCCGACTCTAGGGGGCGGCGCTCATCCCGCTCTTCAAGCCATAGAGCCAGCGTTTTGTCCAAAGACAATCTTCCGTGGTCACATGGCCAGTGTGATTTAGACACGGAACGCTGTTCCTGCAAGTTGTTTACGCACACAATATTCCAAACACCCCCTCCCCATGTACACTACGGGGTGCTACTGTTTTTTTTTTAAATTCTAAGACCTCTTTCTCCTGCACGTATTATAGACCTGCTCCAAATCTAGGCTTTAAAAAGTAGATGAGACAAACCACACATCAATATTCCAAAGAGCCCCCTCCCCATGTACACTATAGGGTGCTACTGTTTTTTTTTTATTCTAAGACCTCTTTCTCTTGCACGTATTATAGACCTGCTCCAAATCTAGGCTTTAAAAAGTAGATGAGACAAACCACACATATTTGCATTTTGCCTCAATGGAACTGGAAGAGGGGAGAAAATTAATGATCTGACTAAGCTCTTCATTTTGCCTGGCGAGTATTTTCCTTGTTATTATTATTTCATTTCCCCAAGTGACAAAATTCGTCCCATTTGGGAAAATCAATTAACACGGTGCCTTTCAGCATCTGGCCTCCCTGGGGTCAACTTGTCCTTTCTGGAGGCAAGGCTGTCTACCCCCAATGCACCGAGCCCCACAGGAACTTGGTTAATGCTAATTTAGTCTGCCATTTCCTTGAGAAGACCTTGGTCTAAATGCAATTACACTGCGAACACGCTAAGTAGTATGGGAAGAACTCTCTCGACTCTTCCTAGGAAAATCTCTTGGTATATGTACATGAAATTATCTCTCCGTTAATAGGAGGAGATCTCTTTCCATCACTTTGGCCTTGCCAATATCAAATTTATATTTAGTAATTTAGCAAAATTGAGTCCCCCCCCGTAACTGAACTTACTGAAAACTCACTCAGCAAGCCACTGAATTATTAACATATTTCCTCTTACGAATTTGCTTGCACAGTAAAGCTATTCTGGAAATTATTTTGAAGGGAAAACTATTTAATCACTTTTTTTTAAATTAGTGTTCCTCACACACCTCCTCCTAATTTTTTTTTTTAAAAATCAGAGTTTCTTGGTATTTGAGAATGATAGTTCACAGCTACACTTTAAGAAAATGGATGGTAATTTATGCATGCAGTAATTCTGGTTCATAATGCATAACGGCCACATGATGCATAATTCACCACAAGATTATGTTTTGGTGTTCCCTTAAGTGAAAGGGAAAGTTCTGCGCAAATCAAAGGCAACGTTGACGTCACGGCCCAGAAATAGCCAAGCTGTTAAAAAGCCACGAATTCTACCCTGTGTCCTGCAGAATCAGTCCTAACGT